GGGGGGGGTGTCGAGAGGATGAGGCCAGTCTCTTCTCCGTGGTGCCCAGCAACGGGCAGAAACTGAAGCACAGGAAGTTCCACCTAAACCTGAGGAAAAACTTCTTTACAGTGAGGGTGACAGAGCGCTGGAACAGGTTGCCCAGAGAGGTAGTGGAGTCTCCTTTGCCGGAGATATTCAAAACCCGCCTGGATGTGATCCTGGGCAATATGCTCTAGAGGACCCTGCTTGAGCAGGGGGGTTGGACTAGATGATCTCCAGAGGTCCCTTCCAACCTCAACCATTCTGTGATTCTGTAAAGCTGATGGGGAAACTGTAAGGACAGATGTAATGAGTCAGGCCTCTATTGCCCTGGCTAGCATCTGCCCTGATCCAAGCTCACCCCTCTGGGCAAGCATCTGCTGTTTTTTTGTTTTTTTTTTTTTTTGACAAAACATGGTTTGTTCCTTATGGCTTTCCTTGGAGGTTGTGCTCATCTCTCTCCTTGTGCCATTAGTTTTTATGTGATGTACAGACAGAAATTTCTACTGAAGTAGGGTGCTGCTGATAGTTCTGCTCTAAGAAGTTCTTGCTCTGGCTCATGGCTGTTGGTCTTGAGCCTAGCTGGGGACCTAGGGTTAGTTTTTGTGTTGACAGGATCATCCTGGCCCTAAATCAAAAGTAACACTTTTCAACTCTTTTTTTTTTTTTTTTAATTCGTAGAAGGTGCTGGATCTCTGCCATGGCCAGGTGGCTCTGCAACTAAACCTGGAAAGCCCAAAGGAAAGAAAAAGATTTCTTCAGTTCGACAGAAGTTTGATGTAAGTTTCCATGGTCAAGTAGTCTTAGCTCTCTGATATTGTCTTGGGGCTGAAGAGGTCTGCATGGTATACAGTTTTCATTACTGCCAGGGGTGGTGAAAGCCTTTAATGTGAAATGGCATATATCAGATTTGTTGTGAATTGGGGCAGGAGCTGGGAGCTAGTAGCTGCTACTCTCTTGTGTGGAAGCTTCTCAGCGGAAGGCTGTAGTGTGTCCTGACTTTAAGACACCAGAAAATACACGGAAGAACATCTGAATGTCAGAGTTGCAAAAGCTTTTATTTCAGGAACCAAGAAGGAGTAACTCTTGCTCTGTGGCCACTCCAGTAACACTTGGACAGACTTTTCATAGGCCAGTTCATCTTTCACATTCTCTGTAATCTCATTTGCTTCACAGTGCTGCTAAGTTCTCAAAGCAACAGTGATTTCCAGTTTATTCTCAGTCAGGTGGAATTCCTTGATGCGTGATGCTCTCCAAAGGACTTTGTACAGTCTGAATAGTTAGAAGTACGATGTTCCTTAGGTGGAACTTTTTAGAGGGCTTAGTTGTTTCGGAACTGAAAATACCTTGGAAAAACTGTCCTCTGCAAAGTTGCTGTCCCCTAGTGGATGGGAGAGAAACGCACAAAATCCAGTTCTTATTTTGCAGCAAAGGCTCTTTACGTTGATCAGATACTGTGGCAAGCCAGTTCTAAAGTTGTTTCTGTCCTGCCAGATGAGTGTGGAGGGGGCCTGGCATGAAGGAGAATCAGGATGGGACACAGGTAGGATTTCATGAGACAGCCTGAGTCCAATTCAGCAACAGTTTGCTGAAACGGAGTTTCTGTTCCCCTCCTGTCTCTTACTGAGCCAGTATTGTCAAGTGTCTGACCACACAGTGATTGAGTTTAGTTCACTGACAAGGCAGAAAACTAACTGGGTTGGGGGAGAGGTGTTTTTCTTGCGGGTTTATTCAGCTGGATCTAGTGTTCCTTGTGGTTGGATGCATGCCAAAGCCAGTGCAAAGGAAGGAGAGACAGCCACATGGCCAGGGGTAGGGAAGAAAGGTGGGCATGTGAAACCTCCCCCTTCTACAGCTGTGAGAAGTTAACTTGGCTCGGCCACAGTCAACCACGCTTTGAGGCACTATAATTGGACAGTATATGTGCGCTTTGTGGAGCAGCTATTGGAAAGGATCACGAGTCCAGCTGAAGGCTCCTTGTATTGAGAAACTGCAGAAATGCTTTGTGCTGTTCGCAGTTATGACCTGAATTGTGACAGCCGTCTGTGTTGTTTTTGTTTTAAAATTTCTTGCTTACTACTGAAAAGTTACAATGAGAGAGAGGGAGAGTTCGATAAGCTAAGTTGTGCACGGTGGAAGTCTTGGAATTTGATTTACATGAACACTCCTACATTATATCACGTTTTTAGTGTATGTTTATACACGTGTTCCTGGAACGATTGGTGGTAAGTATTATGTGAAGTGTCTGCTATTAGTGGAATTCCTCAGTACTGTGAACTTAGAAGTGCCTTAGTATTTCTTGATGGTTCCCTCACTGGTCAGAATAGCAGCTGTTTGAATGACCACAGGTTTATTCCATTTGGCTTCTGCTTTCCCAAAGCTTGTTCCTTTTGGAGTTGTTGAAATTTTTTTTGTTTATTTTTTCCCTCCAGGCATACAGGAATGTAACTTTCCTGTAATGAAAGCATAAATCTTCAGAATTAGTGGGATGAAAATCTTTTGCGTTATTAGTGGGTGGATTGGTTTTCACTCTGACTTAAATGCCACACTGTCCTTTGAATAAAGCACTTCTCCTTTCTCTCCTGAAACTGAGACATCAGAAATCCACTTAGCTGTGTATTTGTTGTTTATATTTCAAGTATGAGTTTATCATGATGCCCTGTAAGAACCTCGTGGGAATTTCTGTTGCAGAATAATGAGACTTGTGCCTTGCAGAGCTGAGGAACAGGAGTTCTGGGAGTACTTCATGAGCAAGGGCCCTCTTGTTCCCTTGTGGGTCAAGGGTGAGCTGAGCAGGCATCTGGGACCAAGCATCAGCAGTCCTTGTTGGCTTTTTTCCCTCCACCTGGAGACAGGCTTCCCAGAAGTTCCCACAAGCACTTTGTCAGCTGTAACGCAAGCACAGCAAGGGTGTTGTATTGGAATGTGCATGACCTGGGAGCTGTGGGTTGCCACCTTGTGGTATGAATTCAAGTTGAGTGTGGTGGGGTTTTTTTGCTTTTCTTACAAATAATTGAGTTAGTCCTGAGTAATCGCCATTTTCCATCTCGGAAATAGTGGCTGTTCTGTAACACAGTGCTGCTTAGAGAAAGATGTGAAAGTGCATGTGGAGGCGAGAGTACAAAATCTGGAACTGGAATTTGGCTAACCTGCTGCATTTAAAGCTTTATGCTTTTATGAGAAATGACTTAGGACCTTTAAGAATTACACAAGCTTATGACCATGGTTTTATATCTTGATAAGAAACTGTACAGTTAGTAATTAAATACATACCCTTCTTATTGTCCAATAGCAAAAGGCTTCGGTACAAGAAATGACTAAATAAAGGAGAACTCTTTGGTACAGAAGGAGTGGCTGAGAGCTGTGAAAGTCCATAAAACCATGACTGGCCTAGATAGCATGAGCAGAGATAAAAGGAACAGTGATCACATTTGAGACTTACAGGAGCGTCAGTGGAAGTTAGCAGGTGGGAAGTACAGAGCAAACCAGAGGAGGTGGCTCTTCATGGAGGTCATGTTACACTGTGGAAAATCTTGCTGCAGGATGTTGTGGATACCAGAGATTTAGATGGTTCAAGGTGCTACTGGGCAAGTTCACAGGCCGTTAAATAAAAGGACACCAGCACTGGCTCGGGGAGTTCTTTGCCCATGAATTGTTGGGGTTTGAGAGAGTGTCTTGGAGGTGAATATTGCTCTGTTTGTCCTGCTGTTGTGTATTTCCCTAGGCACTTGCTCTCCAGTGGAGAAGGGATGTTTGGCTAGATGAGCCAAAGGCTTTGACCTAGTGTATCTCTTATGTTCTATTATTATGTTGATAACAGCACCGGTTCCAGCCTCAGAATCCATTGTCTGGAGCCCAGCAGTTTGTGGCAAAGGATCCTCAGGAGGATGATGATTTGAAGCTGTGTTCCCATACCATGATGCTTCCTACACGTGGCCAGTTAGAAGGAAGGATGATTGTAACCGCGTATGAGCATGGGCTAGACAACGTCACGGAGGAAGCGGTGACAGCTGTTGTTTACGCTGTGGAGGTGAGACTGGGCTGGGCAGCAGTGGTGTTCCCATTAGGCCAGCAACAAAACCCTTTGCGTGCAATATGGAGGTAGCGTCCCTCAGTGGGGAGAAGAAACCTGTTTTTCTGATTGCCTGGTTGCCGCAGGAGGAATAAGAGCAGAATCAAAGAGATTCTAGATCTGTGGCATCATAGTCTTTGATTTGTGCCTGCAAGTATTAATTTTGAAATAGTGTATGAAGAACTCTAGGCACACCTGAGTGGCTGATTTGGAAAATGCTGTTTGTGTCATTTAAAAGCATTATCAGAATGGCAGCTCCAGTTTAAAGAGTCTTATTAAAAATAATCCATTGTGGGCAAAAGTAGCTGTCATGGAAGCAAAGTAGCAGAATTGGGTAACACCTGCAGGTGAAGGGCCTCCTGCTGCTGCTGTTTTTGGCCATCAGTAGTATGCTACCTGACATGTCTCACTCAGGGCCACGTGATTCTGCCATTACTTGAAGCTTTGGCTTGTGGGTGGTTTCCCACAAGCCGAGTCTTTTGACTTGTGGGAGTCACGATTCAGAGGCTGACCTGAATTCCTCATCCAGGAGTGAGGCTAGGTTAGGAAGCAGTTGCCTGCTTGTTTCCTCGGAGTGCTGCTTCCGTAGTTTCAAGGTACCTACACAGTCTGAGAAAGAGGAATAAGTGGCTTTTTGCTGTAGCTTTAGAGCAAGTATTTCAGTGTGAGTGTAACATCTAGTTAAATCCTTTAACTCTCCCGAAGAGATCTGCAGCTGGGGATTTCCTGGCATTTAAGAAACCTCTTTGACATAGGAAGCAGCACATCACATGTTAAACTATGCATCACAGGCTAATACGCAGTGCCCTCTTTGTCTTTCCTCCTTATAAATAGGATACTGTTTCTATGTAAAGTAGTATAATGAACTGCTGACTTGATATTTTCTTCTGCTTTATTCTTGTAAACCAGCAAAAATATACACTAATAAGAAATAATTGAAAATTTCCAGTGTTAGACGGGTGATGTTCATAAGATGGGTAGAAAGTTCAAGCCCGGAATTACTGACTGGAAGGAGAAGGAGCACTGGAGGTGTTTGGTCCCATCTCCCCTTTAGGACTGACTATCCCCTGCACTAAATCAGGCTGGCTGTGGCTTTGTCTAGACACGTCCTGGAAACCTCCAAGGATGGAGAATCCTCCACCTGCCCCAGGGCTGTGCCACCTTCCTGGGGAAGGATTTTGTTCTAATGTCCAACGTGAACTTTTACAGATGCAACTTGTGGCCGTTGTCCCTTGTTACATTGCCTGCTGCTGCTGGGAAGAGTTTGACTGTCATCTTTGTAACTCATTTCAAATAGTTTGTAGTAAGCTGCAGCTAGTTCAACTTTTATCTGACTATATTGCTGGTTTGGGAGGTCGGCATCATCTTTTTCTTTTTTTTTTTTTTTTTTTTTTTTTTTCCCCCCCGCCTCCAGATGAAGGAGGAGAATCTATGAAGTTGTCTATCTGTACAGATAAATAATGCAGTTCTCTGCCTCTTTTATAATTATTCTACAAAGAAATGCTAAGTATAGTGAAGGAATTTTGAGATGTCATGTCGTCTTTATCCAACTGTATCAGGTAGTTAGAGAGAATGTGCTGTATGCTGTTGAGCTCTTGGTTCCCCCTTACATCTTTAGGTCCTTGTGGCTATGGTAGCACTACTTCTGTCTCCTCAATTGATGATGCACTTGTCACAGCAGTAGCTTGGTAGGATGAGCAAGTCAGCATGTGTAACAAGGTTTTTCATTGCAGAACCATCTTAAGGACATTCTGACATCTGTAATATCCAGGAGAAAAGCCTATCGTCTGAGAGATGGCCATTTCAAATATGCCTTTGGAAGCAATGTTAACCCTCAGCCATATCTGAAAAACAGTGTTGTTGCCTATAATAATTTAATTGAATGGTAAGGAAGCTCAGCAAACTTAACTTCAAATGTAATTTGCTCACCCTGAAGCTATTCCGCTGTTCAGTTTCTCTTTCTGCCTAGCAGAATCCGTTAGTAATCCTTTTTAATTTTTACACACTAAGAAAGTAGCAGTACAGAGGACTGTACTGCTGACTGGGAAGAACGACGTGGGGATTTCTCAGCAGCAAAATTTAAGACAATGTTAAGTCTTTGTTCTTTGCCTGCACTTGTCCATCAGTTTATGAAGCTGAGCCTGGCACTCTGAATATTTCGTTAATCATTACTTGTTTAGAAGCTGTAGTGAGTGCCACAGAAATTCCGCTGGCCTCAGGGAAGCGATCCCCGGGGCAGAGGAGCATGCATTTGGTGGGACACCTCTGTTGGGCAATAGGAATGAGGTGTCAGTGAGGTCCTTGGAGGACCTTGCCATTCTGTCATTTGCTTCATCCAAACGTATTACAGTTCCTTGGCAGCTCTTTCCGGTTAGCAGAGCTGTGAGGTCGTCTTGTTTTCCAAAGTGTCAACGTCAAACAGCTTACGCTGTGTATCTGGCAGCGTGTGTGTATTTGTATTTGTCTATGACAGACCTGCTCTCAGTTGGCAGGAGATTGTAGGTGTGTTAGAATTTGGTTATAGTATTACAAACACTACAGATGCAATGCACTCCAAACAACTCTTCCTAACAGCTAATGTCTTTTCATTTTATGTTGTGGGTGCCTCACTTCTTATGCTGGGTGGAAATTGTTGGCTCTAAACAAAAGTAACCAAATCAGCATCAGCTCTAAAGCAGGTTTGATGTCAGGAATCAATTTGTACTGGTTTTGTTAAACTAGAATTTTAAAGATCCTAGTTACGGCTGGTATAATTTTATGTAGACAAGGCCTAAATCAAGTACTATAGAAAGTGAAGCTCAGGGGCCAAGCTCCTGCTGTGTTACTTGCAAAGCTAGTGCTTTTTTCTCAACTGAAAAGGTTTATTACCTGCTCTCTCTGCAGCCCTCCTACCTGTGTGGCACCTTCTGCTGGTCAGAGTCTAGCTCCCCAGCCCCCACCTGATGATGCTGAGCAGCAAGCAGCTCTACTATTAGCATGCTCTGGAGACACCTTACCAGCTTCTCTTCCTCCAGTGAACATGTATGACCTTTTTGAGGCGTTGCAGGTAACTATTCACATTAATCTGTGTTGTGTCTCAGGGCAGTGCTGTCCTGAGTACCAGCTGCCAGTCTCTCAGATCTTGTTTAAATGCCTGGAGGTCTCTTCTTCCTACAGTCTTATTTCCTTCTTTCCCTCTCAAATGAGCAGTTCTCCTTGCAGCCAGTGGCTTTGGCTTGCTCACACCATTAGGTAACACAGTCAGCCCAAGCTCTAATGCCTGTTCTGCTCCCCTCTGTCAGAGGGTTGTTGAAGAAATCCCGTTCTTTCCTTATGGCTGCCATAGGACAGGTAAACTCTGTAGCAGGACTGCAGTGATCATGGCGGAACTGAGCTAGACTGAGATTTTGACAGAAATTGATTTGCCTGGCATGTTGCTTTTCTCTTTATGTTCCACCTGGGTGCTTAGAGGAGTAATTGGTCCTGGCATGCAGACTGCTGCAGTGGGTTACCTATGATCACCCCAAACTTGGGGAGATGCCTCAGGTAGGCTGGATGACTCTTCCTGTAGAGATGGCTTCCTGTCCCTCCTTCCCTCTCCTTCAGCCCTAGGGATGTGCAGACTAATTTAAATGTCTAAGGCTAGCTATGAGAAATCCTCCCTTCATCTATGCTGTTGTGAACAGGCCTTTGGACTTTGTCTCGAGGCTGTGGTGGCAGAGTGCTCATTTTAAGAGCTGTGACCTAAGATTTCATGGCATGTTTTTAGTCAGATGGAGTCTGACCTCAGGATTTTGGAGCAGAATGACTTTCTTGCCATCGCACTCCCTCACAAAACACTGTAACAACCACTTGGTCTGTGTGGGTCAGTGCGGCGGTGCTGGCAAGTCACAGCTCTCTTTGTGTGTGACAGCCTGCGTTCTTGCTCTGCAGGGCTGGTTCTCTGCTCATCTTGTAGCAGAGGCAGGTTCTGCCTTGGGCAATATGGGGAAATAGGTATGAAGGCATGAAACTTTTCTGACATGTATCTCCAGGTGCACAAAGAAGTTATTCCTGCACACACTGTCTACGCTCTAAACATTGAGAGAATTGTCATGAAACTCTGGCATCCAAACCATGAGGAGCTACAGCAAGATAAAATTCATCGCCAGCGCCTGGCAGCAAAAGAGGGCCTCCTGCTCTGCTAGAGTCAGGAGGCATGTCTGGCCTCAGATTGCTGCACTGCTGTTCCTTGGACTTGATGCTGGGATGCTTCTTACAAAGCTGTGTCAGCATTTCGAGGAAGATGTAAATTATGAGTCACCTTTTCCTATGGAAATATGACTGAGTTGTAGTACACTTTGTCTGCTTAATCAGAGTGGTGTGCTGTGGAGTGCTTATAGCAATCCCACTGAATTGGAAAGAGGAAACAAGATTTGTTTGTAAAGACTGTTTTTTAGGAAAAATAAATGTGAGGGTGGAAAGAGTTGCTTTTAAAGAAGGTGTATTTGTATTTTCACCTGTGGGTGTGGGGAATCTGTCTCCTCATCTTCCCTCTCAGGCTGTTTCCCTTCTGAGCACAGTCTCCAGGGGCTTTGTCCAACTTCTGTTGCAGTTGGTGGGATTGTTTCCCTTCAGTTCCTTGGAAACAAGATGGACCCTTGGGAAGTGAAGATAAGTAATTCTGTAAGCTGATATTGTTCCCCTTATACTAGGGGAACTTCTGATTAGAAAATCTGAGAAAACAAGCTGGAAAAGGACCTTTCCTTTTTTGCCTTGTTTTTTGAACTGCTTGGCATTATAAAGCACAAAGATGTATGCTGGCTGTCATAGGAATCCCTTGCCAATTACCAAAATGCGCAAAAAACCCAGAGTTGTGAGTACTGTTTTCCTATCAGCCTAGTCTCTCTCTCTCTCATCCCTGTCATGCAGTAGTCGTGATCAAATGTTGCAGGAATTGTCTAGACCTGTGTCAAGATGCAGTCTGTCTGCCTGTTAGCACTGCTAGCAATTCGGCCATCCCAGCAAGCGGCTTGACCATCCCCAAGGTGGGATAGCAACTCCTAGATACGTTCAGCAGAGCTGCCAGTTCAATATCCTAGTGTTACAGAATCTTTGGGTGAAAGAGCAACATGTTGAAGATATCTTATATTACTTAATCAAAAAAAAAAAATACAGCCACACCTGTACATGGGAGCCATGCAGAACTGTGCATAAAAGGGGGAACTCCACCTGCTCCATCTGTATTGCAGGTGCTTTACTGCCTACATCCTCCGCAGATGCTGAAGGGAATAGGCTTCTTAAGAAGTTTTATAGAATTCTCACAAATTAATTTCTGTATTACCTGATTTTTAACCACAAAAACACAGGTACCTCCCAAAGGATGAGTTGGCTTTTTGTTCCCATTGTGCCATGGGGTGGCGTCAAGACAGCTTCCTCTGTGGGAATATGAAAGGTGAAGCATATGGCTCCCCTCCATCTTGCTTTTCCTCTGTTGGGGAAGTGTTTGGATGGGAGAGCTGTAATTTTTTTTTACCCCCTTCCCACACAGCTTCCTTCCCTACATCTGCTGCCCCCCTTTAAGTGAAGAGGGGGCAGGTCCCCTCTAGCTGTCTGCACGTTTTTATAACTTCCTTTGATGAACCACATGACTGTAGCTTGTTGGGCCAGAGTTGCATCGAGGGGCTGTGCAGCTGTCACTGTGTCTTTTGGTTTTTCCTTTACCCTCCTTGAGGCGTGTACTCTGGAGTGAAGTACAGCAGGAGGCAGTGCCCATGCAGATATCAGTGGGTGGCTGTGTGAGAAGACCAATTTAGGATTATGAAGAAGCTGGGAAAAGCAGCAGCAGAGAACTACCGCAGGCCTGGCAGGATGGGAGCAGTCTTGCACTGGTAGGTCACGTCTCCTGAAATACGGCAGCGCGTGGTTAAGCAAGAGTGGAGTGCAAGAGAGGTGATTGAAGATGTTTTGGTCCCCTTCTCCTAGCTGCCATTTTGTATTTATTTAAGCATACGTAACTGTCCAGAGTGAGCCATTAGCTCAGAATTTGACCCCAGTGGCTGTTACGTGACAGTTTTTAAAAGCAGCATTGAACCCAGGTAACTGTATGTGATGAGATCAGCAAGTCACCCAAAGTACGGACTCTGGGGCGTGGGAGGGGGATTTCCCAGGTAATTGTTATGTTTCTGGTGTAAAATGAAAGCAACAAGTTTGTTTGCTAGAAACTTTGGGGTGGCTCTGAGATCTGAAGGAAGCAGGCAGCCTCCGACAGTATCAGAAGTGAGTTCTGAAACAGAATACTAAGTATGGCACAAGAGAGGCACAAGAAGTGCCTTTCTCTTCTGTTTGCGTGTTGCTAGGAGAAAGGCTCTGCGGACAGAGCCTTCTGCTCTGGAGAGCTGAGTCATCAGTTCCACAGTGAAGAAAGTGGGTTAACCAGGACACCTGCTACACAACCAAGGCTTGAGTAAGGAAATCCTCAGCCCTGTTTCACAGATGGGAAAACTGAGTGGCACATGTTCTCAATGCACTTTCCCACAAAGTGTGAGATCTTGTGAGAAGCGGTGCTACTTTTCGAGTAAGTTATTTGGAAGGAGCATCTGGAGGTTATGTCCACTCCCATTCTCAAAGAAGGGCTAACTTCAAAGTTAGAGTATGTTATTCGTCTCTGAAGATGGATGTGCCACCGTTTCTCTGGTCCCTGTTCCAGCGTTTGACTGCCCTTGTCAAGTTTTTCCTTGCAACTAGTCAGAATTGTTCATGTTGCACCTGTGCCTGTTGCCTTTCAATGTTTTCCTGTGCACCTCTTCTTTTCAACCTCCCATTTGAGCTGCAGACAACAATAAGGTCTCCCTTTTGCCTTCTCTTCAGGCTGAACAAACTTGTCTCTCTCTGCCTCTCCTCATGTGTTGTGTGCTTCCGCCCCGACCACCTTGGTGGCCTCCATGGTACTTGCTCCAATACATGCTTCCTCCGATACACATGCTTGTGCTGGGGAGCCCAAACTGGACCCAGTGCTCCAGACAGTCTGGAGCAACCCTCTGAGTAGCAACCCTGGTCTTCAATGTGTGAATCACTCCTTCCAGTTTGGTGTCAGCTGCAGACTTGCTGCCCATATGCTCCATCTGATCAGCCAGATCATTAATAAAAATGTTAAAACAGTATCAATCCAGTACTGACCCCCGAGCACTGGCCCCAGTATTGAGCGCTGCTAGCAACTGCCAGCGACCTGGGCTCGGAGCCCCTGAGCAGTGCTCTTGGAGACCTGGTGGTACTGATGTATAGCTGTACCCCTTGCGTGGGGCTTCCCCCCTCCCTCCTTCCCCCCACTCTGGGAGAGCAGGGAGGGGAAGGCTCTGGGGGATCTGCCTTGGGTCAAGGGCTTCTGCTGTAGTGGGGGAAGGGTGTGAGCTAGTGTCCTCGAGGGACTTTGCAGGGTCAACTGCCTTGTCTGTACTTGGAGGCTTTTTGGCTGCCCTGGGGAGTAGGGCAGGTGAGAGGGGATTGTGTAGTTTCTTCAGTCTGAAAAATCGACTCGGCTATGAGAGGAAGGATGAGGTGGTTCTTGTGAGGTGTTGGGCTGATGGCTTTCACTGATGTGGCATACTTCTGTGTTTGCTGCAGTAGTTAGTCCTGGAAAATGACAAAATCTTAGACAGTCTGCCCTGCTGTTCAGCTGTCTTTACCACTGAATGCTTTTCCCACAGTCCTCAGCTTTTCTTCGCATCCTAGAACTTCTTGTCCTGTTCACCACAGAGCATTGTACAGAAGGATGGAAGGCAAGAAATGGCACATCATCTGCCACATCTTCAATAGCAAGAATTGCATCCTACACGCTTAATCCAGTAGGAACCTTGCGATGTGCTGTAAGTCACCACTCTGCAGCTTCTTGCAGACTTAAGATTGGCAATGGGAAACTACTAGCCCCCCGAGGAAGAGGGGGGAAAAAAGTGCTTGAGAGCTCCACCTGGTCCCCTTCATGGCCAGAGCTTTGCCAGGTGAAGACAGCTGTCTGCTTTCAGGAGGTGGCCAGTGCCTCTGGGAGAGTGGAAAGCAGAAAGAAAATCCTGTATATATATTTTTTTCAGACAGTTCCAGCTGCCAGACCTGACCTTCAGTCTGACCAAGCCTTTCCAGCTGGGTGCTGAGGAGGGTCCTAGAGGCATGAACACATCCCTCTATAACACCCCAAATGGCCAAACTCTGATGCTCCTGAGACTGGTGACCTGCATCCCTCTTTCTCCAAACCTGTGCTGTGCGCTGACATAGGGAAAACGTCTGTTGTTGCTGCTTCAGAGCAGAAATCTGGAGCCTGGCACTTGTTATCAAACGTGCCCTGCAGTCCACTGCCTTTTTCTTAGCTTAGCTGCTCCCATGTCTCCTCCCAGCCTTCAATATTCTCCTGCAGCGGAGCTGGGATTTCAGTTGTTACCCCCAATTTTGTCTTCCCTAACAGAACATCTTGTTGCTGTAGAAAGCAGATTTCCCAGTAGGGAAATTTAACTAGTGCGACTGGTTTCTTCATACTGGGATGACCTTGACCTCTAGGAAACGTCTGGCAGAGAGAGGAAAATGAGGAAATGAGAATGCTTGCATTTACTAAGAAACCACAGACTCTGCATTTGTGTGTCACTTAACTGTGAATACCAAAGAACCTGAAGTTGGGACTGCAGAAATGCTCTGCTGTCCAGCGGGGCCAGACTAAACCAAGAAAGGAGACTTTCTCTTGGGCTCCCGGGGTGGAAGGAAGCGTGTGTCATATTGCCGTAGTCAGGCGTTGTCAAAAAAAGTCTCCACAAAACAGGGACTGTCTTCCCAGTTCTGAGAAGGCAGCTGCAGAGAGAGGCTTGTGGTGGCTGTTCCCCTTCAGGAACTTGTAAGCAGTGATGGATATGCCTTGCTAGCCTGAAATGACGTGCAGAAGGGTTTGCAGGCAGTGCTGTAGCAACAGCATGATGCTGGCAAGCTCCCCTCCCAGCAAAAGGCATGGCTCGTGCTGCTGCAGGAGGTGCTTCGGCAGCATAATTTCTCCTAGGAGGAAGCTCCAAGAAGGAAATCACTTCTGAGAGGTTTGTTTGTGGTGTTACCCTTCTGTACCAGTGTGGTTACTGGCATGGTCTGGTTGGCAGGAGGAGAGGAAGAGTTCACAAGCCTGCCTCGCAATTTATCGCAGCAGAAGTTTTAATGTGCAACTGCAGACCAAGAGCGATCTCTCTCCCTCTTCCTCCTGGCAGGAAGAAGTAGGTAGAAACATTTACTGTTACGCTGTTCCGTCGTGCCCTGGCAAGATGTGGGTAAGCTGTGCCACTGTGAGCTGTGCCGTGCGCTTCCCAGGAGCGTAATGAAGCTGCTGCTGAACATCAGGCCCCTCTGAGGCCAGAAAGCCAGGCAGTATCAGGTAAATGCACCCTTCATGTCCCTGAGCGAGTCAGTATTCTCCACTCCCTGAGCAAGCACAGACCTGTGCACTGCAGAAACCACAGGCTTACAGAAAATGTCCCCTGCGGGACACTGCTGAGGTTTGTTTGCACAGCAGCCACGAGTTAACGAAGAGCGTGAAGTCAGGCCGTGGACATTAGTGTCTTCAGCCCTTAGATACCTGTTTGCCTCAGCTTTAAAGAGACCTTGGTTCACATGGCAAGTTGAGGCCAGGGCACTTCAGCTTCTTTTAAGACTTCACGTTGTCTGAGAATTCCTGTTAATTGTCCTGGGCGTCCTCCTGGAGACACCGCTTGGGTGAGGGTGTGTAGCGCCAACACGAATGAGATGCGGATTTCTTGTGGGTCAAATGCAGGCTGCAGGCCACTGCTAAGCTGCCTCTGTTACCTGCCTTTGGCCCTGGGATTGAGTT